ATCTGGATTCCCTCTTTCCCTTAACCAGAGGCAATGGGTAATTTGACTATTAAAAAAAAAAATCTCGTTTTAAGTCTTTATTATAAAAGTAACATATGCTTTTTTATAAAGGATAATCAAAACAATCGAGTGTATAAAATAGAAAGTGAAAGCATCTTTGCGTGATTAAGTTTGATAAATAGCATTTTAGATTTTTACTACATATATAATTTATATATGATTTCTAAATGATTCGTGCTATACATGGTACTCTGCCACTTGCATTTTTTCCCTCCCATTTGACAGTATTTCATGGACATCTTTTCATGTCAGTTCACAGAATACTGACATGTTCTTTTTTTTCTTTTTTGAGTCAGAATCTCCAGAATCTCACTCAGTTTCCCAGGCTGGAATGCAGTGGCATGCTCACAGACACTGCAGACTCAACCTACTGGGCTTAGGCGATCCTTCCACCTCAGTCATCCAGGTAGCTGGAACCACAGGCATGCACCACCATGCCCGGCTAATTTTTTTGATTTATTGTAGAGATGAGGTCTTGCCAAGTTGCCCAGGCTAGTCTCAAACCTGTGGGCTCAAGCAATCCTCTCACCTTGGCCTCCCAAAGTGCTGGGAGTATAGGCGTGAGCCACCATGCCTGACCACCATGTTCTTTTTTAGCAGCTACACAATATTTCCCTGTGAGGATGTGGTATAATTTCTTTAATAAGTCCCCACTGGTAGAGACTTGGATGGGCTTTCAGAAGGTGAATAGATATTCACAAGCAGAACAGAAAAGAATAAGAGACAACTTAGTTTGAGTTATTGATATATGAATGGACTGGTTTTGTACTCAGTGCTTCTGGATAGCAATTCAATATCAGTGAACTATAACGTTAAGTAGAGCAATGGAAGCAAGGCTGATTGAGGAAAACCTGCACTGATTGCGGGAGTTTGGACGTTTTTCTGAAGGTGATGATGGTGAAGGGCAAGGACATTGAGGAATTTTGATGGAGGGTTGAAGTGATCAGATTTGGATTTTTCCAAGATTACTAGGATAGATATGGGTGGATAGCATAGAAGAGAAACTGAAGGCACAGAATCCACTTGGGAAACTGCTCTACCAGTCTGGGCCACAGAGGATGGATAGAACTGAACCTCGCAGAGCTAAGGTCATGGGCATGAGAGAAGAGGGTGGATTCGGGACATATCTGGGTTGGTGTTGATGCGATGTGGGAAATGGTTGTGGGAAAGGAAGAAGTATGTAATCTGACATTGGACAGTTAGCTTAGGAGACTGGCTGGATGATGTGGCTATAGCCAAGATGGTGCACACAGAGGAAAGAGGGAGCTTTAGACAAAAGCTGATTAACTCAGTTGTGGGCTTTCTTTCTCTTGCTTTTTGTCTTCCTCCTAAGACACCTGATTAAAGGAAGAAGCCATTCTTAATGGCACTTCCAACACCCCCAAATTGCCCCCAGTGAACCCCATTGTTAATGGTTTGACAAGCATCCCTAGGAGTACTCAGGGCAAGTTCAGCTGTGATGTATGGCTGTGGTTTTTTTAAACATTAAATTTTCTTCCCTCACTTTTATTTAAAGGATAGATGCTATCACCAGCCATCAGATGCACATGTACTTGTACTTTCAAAGTTTGAGGTGCTGACAGGTCAAGACAAAAGCTTCTCCATGTTGCAGGGTGGAGGGAGGTCTTCAGAAGTCCTGGCCTAAGTGGTCACAGGGGCATCAAGAGCCCAGGACCACTTGGCTAGTTTCAGACCAGCTGGGGCAGGCAGGCAGGAACATACTCCTATTTGCTCAGTTACAATCAGTGACTCCTTCTTTGTGTAAAATGGAAATGAGGCCATTAGGAGAGGCTCACCTGAAGTGCAGCGTTGTGAATCCAAGGTAATTAAACACCTCCCGAATGAAAGGGAAAGGCCAGGGAAGGTTAAGTGAGGAATAATCTGCAGCACAGGTGGCCCAAGGCCTTTGAGGAACCAGAAGAAGAGCGACAGCGGCTGGCACCATTTCAAAGGATGGAAATGTCACCCTAGTCCCTGGGAGGGGCAGGTTATTTTATTATTTGGGGGGCAGGGAGTAGGTAATATTTATAACATTTTAATAAAGCATGATGCACATATACCCTCTGATCTAAAATAAAAATGGAAGAAAAAAAGAAATGTACTGAAAGTATAAATTTTAGGTGCTCTTACCACTAAGAAATAAATGGAAGTTAACTGTGTGAAAAAATAATAATAAAGCATGTTTTCTTTTCTTATTTTTATTTCAAACTGAAAGTCTACAGCAGAGTCTGCCTGCATTGCTCCTCGTGGGCTCTCACCACTATGGCACTGAGGCTCATATGTCTAAGAGAAGGGGAGGTCATAATTAGCCAGTTATAGATCAAACTGCTACAAAAAGGAAATTGTTTTTCATGGCTTAACTTCAAGCAAAGGTGGGGCAGCCACCCCTCAGTGCATGTTCCCATTGCTTCTGACTTGTCAGAGAATACCAGTCCCACCTTTACTCAGTGTACTGTCCAAGCATATGGCATGCCCCATTAGCAACAGCAGAAGATTGTTTCCCTGTGCACAGGTAACATCTGTCAACACCTTGCTATGCTCTAAGTACCGTGCTTTGTGACTTCATATGTCCTTTCAGCTTATCTTTGCTGCATAAGGTCTGGGAAACAGGATTTTGCTCTTCAGGTCTCACTTCAAAATCTCTTGTCTTCACACAAAAGCTTGTACATGTATCTTTATAACAGCCTTATTCACAATAGCCAAAAAGTAGAAACAACTCAAATGTTCATCAGCTGATGAACAGATAAGTAAAATGTGGTCTATCCATACAATGGAATATTATTCAGCAATAAAAAGTAATGAAGTATTGACACATACTGCAACAGGAATGAACCTTGTTCATAATGGGTATTATGCTAAACAAAAGGATTCAATCACAAAAGACTACCTATTGTTAATTACATTTATATGAAATGCCCAGAGTAGACAAGTCCACAGAGACAGAAGTTAGATTATTAGTTGCTTGCGTTGCCTAGAGCTATAGTGGGGATAAAATTGGTAGAGAATGAGGAGTGACAACTAATGAGTATGGGGTTTCTTTTTGGGGTGATAAAAATGTTCTAGAGTTAGATAGCAGTGATGGTTGTACAACCTAGTAACTATATTAAAAACCACCAAACTGTATACCTTCAAATGAATGAATTTTATGATATGTGAAATATATCTCAATAAGCTATTTTAAAATCTCCTTATCAGTAGCTTGGCAACAAGACATAATGTCTATGGATTGTTTCTAAAGTGTATGTAGTCCATCCCAGATTAGTGATTCTTAGTATTTTTAGGTTCAAAGCCACCTTTAGGAATCCGAGGAAAGCTATGGATTATGTGCCCAGAAAAAAGATTATCATTCATACTTCGTATCTGTAGATGATTCATGGGCCACCTAAATCTAATTTTCTATTTTATCCTTAAGTCTTATCCTAAGTATTATCTTTAAATAATGTCAGACCATTAAATAGTTTTATATCTAAACCCTTTATGGAATTAGTTTCCCTGAAATGTGCTCTTCAAATGTTGCCTCTATGCTTAAAAGCAATCATTAAGCTTTCTGTTTCTTTCAAGATGAAGAAAAATTCCCTTCTGGTTCCTGCTTTTCTCTCCAGCCTCATTTCAAGCCGTATTCCCCCTCATTTTATCCACTGGAGCCATAGGTCTTTCTGTTCTCTGAACTCCTCCTTCCTACAGGTCCTTTACATGCTATTCTCCATACTTAGCACATGGTTCCCTCCCCCTCTTTGCCGAGTTAACTCCTTTAACTCATCTTTCAGATCTCAGCCCAACTCTGCTTCCCTCCAGGAAGCCTTCCTTGATCTCGTTGGTAGACTCTATTGCAGGCTTATCACAGTAGCAATGTCACATGTATTGGTATTTTTTTTCACTAGGATGTCAGCTGAATGAAGGCAAGTCCCATGTCTGGTTTCACTCAACATGGTATCCTCAACACCTAGCATAAACCTGGGTATACAGGAAATAATAAATGTTTATGGAGTGAATGAATGGCTCAGGTCACCACATTGCACAATTCTGGGGGCATCATTCATATAGAACATAGTATAGCATCCTGAGATGTAAATGGAGGTCATATTAGAAATAGTCTTGTCCTTAATGTTGATGGCAACAGCCACCATATCACAGTCTTTCCTACACTGACTCATAAGAAGTGTCTTTAATGTCTCACTTTCAGGAGCATCTTTATTCATTTGAGCAATTAGTTTGTGTGTAATACATGGACCCAGGGAATCTCACAACCTTCATGTTTCTCTCTTTGCTTTGACTGATAGGAGGCCCTTAAAGTGAAATTTGAAACCCATTTCTAGCCACCATGTAAGATCTTATGACTTACGTTTATATGCTAAATCTATTTCTGGCTGCTACTTTTCCCATTGTCAACACTTCATTGTCTATTTTAACCTGCTGAGTATGTGTCTAATGGTTGCCACCATTCCCTTAGACATGATGTGTGAGGTATATACATAAACATTTTATTGCTAATATTTTTAAGTAGTTTGAAAATGGAATAGAATTGAAACTAAAAGTATCTGTGTAATTTGAGCTCAGATGATAAGACTTTGATTCAAATTTGGCCACTTCTTGGGATTGTTCCTAGGTATGTAATTTAACCTTTCTGAGACTATTTTACCCTTTTAAGATGAGAACACCACCCTCTTCTTCACCAGAGGAAAAAATTAAAGTATACAGTTTATGTGAAACTACTTAACTTGCATGTAGTAAGTGGTTAAAGAATAGTTTTGTTTTTATTAGGCATGCTCTAATAGGAGCAACATTATAAAATTTCAAAAACACGTTCTGATACTGAATGCATTTTTGTGTTCCCAGCAACTGAGGTATCAGTTTTCTAGGGCTCCATACGTACTGGGCTTAGTCAGTCATCCTCCTTTGACCCTCTCCTCAACCTGTGTTTGCTTTCTCTCTGTCACCAGATTTCTTCACTGAAGAATAGGCTGAAGAAGGTGTCCACAACCACCGGTGATGGTGTGGCCAGAGCATTCCTCAAGGCCCAGGCTGCTTTCTTCGGTAGTTATCGAAATGCTCTGAAAATCGAGCCGGTAAGTAGCCTTTTGGCTTGTTACAAGTCCATGGTTGGTCATTCCTCAGGGGTCATGGGAAATTCTGTGATTCTTCTGGCTTCTGTGTCACCTAGCAGAGGTTGTATATGTTTGTGGTAGAGGTGGGAGTTCTCTCCTTTACCTCTTAGTTCAAGAAGGCTGTACTATCACATGAGACACTGCTCCCGTGACTGTTAAGACCTCCCCTTATACGTACCTGGATAGTAGGCACTGACTACATGTTAGGGACAGTGCCAGACCCTTCACACATACCTGCTTTCATGAGGGATTTACAGTACTTATATTTGTGAGAGAGCAATGATCAGCTCCACTTTATAAATGAAAAAACTGAGACTCAGAGAAGAGAAATGACTTGCTAATGGAGGATCCAGATGATCCCAAAGCCCCGCTTTTCCTACTGTACCTCACTGCCCTGTCCTTTAAAGAGACTCCTCCTTCTCACTTGAAAAAGTAAAGCATCCTGGGGGTTCACTTCCTAGTGGCCTCCTGTAGTGGTCTTGGTGTCATCGACTACAAACCACGGTGAGGACTGGGACTCCATGGCCCATCCACCTTTCTGAGCCTCAGTCAACTCATCCAGGTGCCCTGCCTGCCATATGAGGTGATTAATTATCATAAGGATATGAAAATGTCAGGTCTTCCCTGAAACCAAAGATAATACCAGCTCTCCCAGCTTCATTGAGAAGTTTTTGTTTGATATTTATCCACTCAGCCTACTCTTGGCCTCCTGGCCAAGGAAGATGGAGAAATTGGCTTAGGGACCTGGATCCCCTATATAGGAGAAAACACTGAAGGGAAATCTTCCTGATGGGTCTCTTCTCTCAGGGGCACAGAACAGGTGAGTGACACCCAACCTAGTAAGAGTAGGGTGCCAGGCAGCAGGTTAAGCTGCACTGTCTATAGGGTGGAGTTATTTAACCATAGTATTTAATTAGTTGAAATGACAAAAGATAAGGGGATGTAGGGCAATGCATGTTATGTGGAAATTCTGAGTGTGAGTGGATCCCACTTCTTCAGAAGCTACAGTTATATTGGTAAGACTCTTTGTGCTGCTCTAATTCCATGGTGTGTCTAAGTGAAACACAAAGAGTAATAGCAAACACCTTGTTTTCCCTTCACCCAGGACCTACTATCTATGAAGTAGCCGGAGCAGTGGGTGCTCAGGAAGCCGCATCCTAAAATACTCTCCTCATTTTTCATCCAGCACTTAGGCCTTACTTTGTAGGCTGCCTGAGCATCAGGCAATGTCATTGTCACGTCACATAGTAGAACACATGCACTCTCTTTTTACTTTCCCAAGAAGTACTCCCCTTAGGTTCTATAAATCCCATCAGCTTAAAACAAGTTTCCAAGTCCTGCTAATCTCAAAGTGAGGTGGTTCCAATTCTTTGTCATGATCTTCAGTTCAGACAGATGAATCATGTTCAGTTCTGTTTTGAAAACTGGCATAATTTAAGAAAAATATTGTTGTGGTCCTCTCTAAAATGGAAATGGGACAGGTGACCCAGTCCTTTCCTTGGATTGCTTGGAACTGACAGGCTTGAAGTATTTTCACTCTTGTAATTATCTCATTGTTGGCATGTGTGCATCTAGAATCCAGAGACTGTTGAATCTTGGTACAGGTATGTGATCTGGGCACAAGTTGCTCCACAACAGGAGTTTATGGCTGTACTTCCACTTGACTCTGAAAGGCATTGAATTTAAGAACAGAAGCCTTGGCGTTTAAAGTCTAGCTCTGTACTTGTTAGATGTATAAGGCTTGAACAAGCTACTTAATCTGTTTAAACTTTAGTTTCTTCACCTGCAAAATGAGGATAAGACTCCCTATCCTTTCTACAGGTTGCTATAAGGATCAAATGAGCCATAAAACATTTCATAAGAAAGGTGAAACTTGAACTGGGTTTGATTTGTAAGATTTGAAAAAAGACAAAAGCATCCCTTCCTATAGTGGATGTGTAGTTAACTGAGGAAGCAAAGGCTTAAAGACAGAACATCTCACGGCCAATGAACAGGCCATTTTTGTCTGGGATAATGGGTCTGCATGGTGGCATGTTGCTGCAGGAAAGGATAGAGCCAAATTTGGTAGCGCCTCAGACACTAGGCTAAGAGGGTGAACTTTACCCTGGAAGGAGTATAAGTTTTTGAGCAGAGATATGATGTGGCTGAAGTCAGGTTTGAGCAATAATATGGTGATGGACTGAAAGGGAAGCTGGAGGATGAGAGACCAGTTGGAGGAATGCTTTGGAAATTCAGAAGAGAGTCCTCAGGTGGATACACCTGGAAAAGGTACCATGAAGGAAGAAATGACTAGACTTAGTAATAGATAAAATATGGCAGATGAAGAGTAAGACATGTCCAAATGTCTCCCAACATTTGGAGACTGGGAGAAGATGAAGATACTCCTAGTAGCAGAAAGTGTAAGTTTAATACCAAGGTGTTCATAGTAGCAGCATTTATAATAGTAAAAAACTGAAACAGACTAAGTGTTCATAATAGGTAACTAGTGAAGTCAATTAAAGTATATCCATATTATAGAATATTGCATAGCCATTAAAAGTATCACCTTAAAGATAAGGTGATGTGTTTAGCTGGAGACATGGCACTTGTCCTTGAATATAAGCTGCCATTTAGTCATCAGATATGCCATTAGTTTATGTACTGTTAAGGAAAGGGAAAAGAGTACTGCCAATTATAATTGAAGGATGCCACCAATTATAAGACACATCCAGATTTCAGAGATGTTACAATGGGAAGAAATTTTCATCTTAGAATCAACGAAATATGGCAGATCTGTCAGGCTTTTGGTCCCATTCATCTGTGCTAGAATGGTTTTCTTCTGTAAACCCAAGTAGGAGACCAGAAGGCCTGAAATTTTCCAGCCAGGCATTGAACCAAGCAAAGGTCATCATCATGTTACTTCAGTGTTTTTTAAGCCACAGATTCAATTCTGGCAAATTTTCCTAATCTGAAAAATGGGGTAACAATTCCCATATAAAATTGTTTGGGGGATTAATTTAAAATCACATGTGAGCCCAAGAAGGGAGGAGCAGGGCAGTGGCTGCTTAGCTAGGGAGAATGGTACCTGGGGTGAGTGGGCTGAGTGGGCTGAGTGGCATGGTGCTGACGGGAGAGGGAGGCCTTCCCAGGGCTTCTCTGGTTATAAAAATAACACCTGCATTTTGTAAAACATGTTTCAAGTAACAGGACTAGAAATTATAAACATCCAGAATCCTAATATCTAGAGTTAAGATACAGTGTTAGCAGGTTTCTACCAAGGTTTCAGGATTTGGAAGTTGGTTTTGTTTCAGTCTATTTTGGAATTTTGTTTTTTTACTTACTTTTTGGCAGTTGAGTATCCAGTATCCCAGTTATTCATTTGTTTTTGCCCTTTGGTATGTGTAAACATTTTTCAATCACATAAAACCTCTTCTTTAGCATCACTTATAATGGATACGCATATCAGATGACTCCAGTGGTTCTCCACCCTGGCTATGGATCAGAATCACCCGTGGGGCATTTAAAACAGCAAATATCCAGGCCCCACTCACAGACTTTTATCAAGTTCCTGCTATCTGAAATCAGTTGTAAGGCCCACCATGTTTGTCGGTCTTTTTTTATTTTTGGTAACATTTCCTGATTTTAAACCACATTGTGCTGAACATCTTTATATAAATCTTTATGCATGATCTGAATTATTTTCTTAGGCAGATCCCTTGACATGAGTTTACTGGGTCAAAGGATCCAAGTGCATGTAAGGCCTTTGATACATAGGATGAGGGAGAAATGTGGTGACCAGAAACAGGTGGAAATGTGTAGGGAAGAGGATCCTGAGGCAGATGGCCAGGCAGATCTGAAGCTGAGGGCAAAGTGAGCTTGCAGGGAAGAAGGGCAAGTATGTGGGGGCACGTAGGGTAGCCCAGCCACAGTGCTGTCAGCCTCTCTGGCTCACCTGCCCCGACTGCTTTGTGGTGTGTCTACATAGTGTGCTGGGTTGCTTGCCATGCAGGTGGGGGGTGACTTCCTACGCTAGGCAAGTGGTGCAGTCATAGGTCTCGGATTATGCAAAGTCATATGTTTTGTTTAAAAGAGGAAACATGACAGACTTGAATGTGTTCCTCTCTGCTCAGCTTCTGACTGTCTTGTGGCTTTGAGCAGGTTGTTTTCCTCTCTGATCTTCAATCCCTCTTCCATATGTATAATCCTCTCCTTGCAGAATCCTAGCGAAGTTTACATAAGCCCAGCACAGTGCCTGCCCTGACAGCTCTGTAAACATCAGCCCTGCCCCCCTCTCCTGGCTCCTCTCTGCTGAGTAGGACCCTATCAACCTGTAGCAGGTTGAAGGACAACTCACACTAGGCCACTCAGTGCCATTCTGGGAGGAGAGGTCAAGCTTTGGCATGAGAGGCAGAGGTGAGTAACTCCTCTCCAGCAGGGTCTAAAGATTATTTCCCTGGTTCAGAGTTCAAGTGATATTTTTGCCTCTTTGGTCTCCTCCTACCCCTTTTCCTATGGGAATGACTCAAAATGCAGTTGACTGGAAGACAAGCTTTTTCTTTCTCCAATCTGGAAGAAGGATGAAGAGGGCCACTTGCTGAGGCCCAACCCTGTGCCGGGAACTGGGTTGTTCCTCCCCATCCTTGCCAACTGGGTTGACTCACTAGTGGGGGGTGCCTCTTCAGAGTCAGGTGAATTATTTTAAAAGGGTCTCTCGGGTCAGAAAGTGAGATGCTGAGGGTATCCAGCCACAGCCAAGTCTGCTACCTCCTCAGTGGCCTCCCATGAAGTAGGAGCTCAGTTCAACTCCAAGTTGCTTCACATCCGTGATCTCAGTAATTCCCCACAATGGGACTTTTCTAACCATTTTACATGTGGATGATGGAGCTCAAGTTCCTGGGAAGTAGTAGAGCCAGGAGACAGCCCCCCAGGTTCCTTCCACCACATCCTCCTGCCTGTCTTTGTTCTAGTTTCCACATGGTCCGTGTTCATAACACTGTCTCTCTGCATTTCCAGTG